TACGACTGTGTATGGCTGGAACATTAGGTAGGCTTCTGCGTCAGTCACGTAGACCCTGTCAGTCTACATGGCAGGTGCGCGTGCACTCGGGAGACTTTTTTTCTCCTAGTGCACCATCCTTGCGCTTCCGCGTTCGGCACGCGCGTCGCGCCACTCCTTTACTCATCACAGGCACAAAAAGCTTTCACCTTCAAAAACTACACACAACATATGCTGGTAAATGTACATAGCCAGCGAGCTGATGTGCACTGCATTTATGTTGGCAATAACATTTTTTCAGCAATTGTGCATTATCATGATGAAAAGAGCAGTTGCTGAAAAGCCCAAATTTATTTGTGCCACGCTCAAATTTACGTTGGGCCTCTCCAACCCCATGCTTCAATTGAAGCCTTATGTAATTATGTGAAAAAGATGTGCTGTTCATGTTATACCTTACATACTGCCATAAGTTTCTTAAGCAACTTACAAAAACAATGCAGGGTATCGAAACTTTGCATTTCATTACTACAATGCCTCGTAGACAAATTTTTTTTTCACTCACAACCTCAAAGTGATAAAGCTTCCGTCTATGAATTTGTTGATGGCAGGAAAGGCAAATTCAGTTGATTGCAAAAAAAAAAAAAAAAAAAAAAACTAAGGAGCATAGCTTTGTTTTTGCTGACACTTGGTGTGAACACCGAATGAAACAAACACACTGAATAAAGAAGCAGAGGCGATTGCTCACTTAGAGGACCTATAAATATGCAGTGCGTGGCAACATATCAATTGATATTTAAACATACACAAATTTTGATTGGGCAGAAGAAAAAGAGGGGAAAGCTTAATCGTCGAGACAGGACATCACAAGTTGTCATAAGAGCCTGAAGTCATAGTTGCAACATAATTCTTTTTGAACTGCTCTGACAGAGCCCACGTAACAAATGTTGTTTGTGTGCTCACAAATTTTATATTTTGCAACCTGAAATTCATGGACACGACGTCAAAACAAGTTCACAGCGAAAGTTAAACCGTCGATAACTGCATTAAAGACCCCTGACACTAAATTTGGAAGCCCGAGATGCTTGCGTTGTTGGGTAGTCTTGCATGCGGGGCCACTTCTGACCTATTATTAGTGACGCTACAAGATATTTTAATTTGGTTTTATATAAGGATGCATGCTCAACCGAGTATTCAGGTCCAGTTGATATTTTCTGTGATTTGACATAGACCCCTCGAGACATTGCAAAAGTCAAGCAAGTATTGTCGGCATCAGAGAACATTCAGAGAACCCTGACTGACAACGGACAAAAACTATTGGCTGAGGGGGACATGCTTAAATCACTCACATTGTATCATTCTTTCGCCACCCTCACAGTTCTCCTTTTAGCATGTTCAGTGTCACCAAAACACGTAGTCATAGGCACTGCCCCGCTGTGAAGCGGTAGTTCCTTAAACATTTAAAACTGACAGGAAATTATTCTGAAATATGATGCTAGCATTAAAGACACAGTATTAAATACAGGCCACGTGTTTATTCGCAATATTTGTTGCTCTAGAAATAACACTGAAGGAAGAAATGCATGCATACTGGGTTGAAGGCACTCACTGCAAAATTACAGCAAAACATTTCTTGTATATTAAGGACCTCGGGGAGCTATTCTCACGGTGTCCACTTCGCGGACATGTCTCACTTTGCTAGAGCATATTCAGTGAATCGTGATGTAATGGCCTGCTTGACCACGACGGCTGCACTGAACCCGCCAGCACATTTCTGACGTAAAAAGAAACTACGTGGACGTAATGTCGGGTAACAGGACTTTAAAAATAAACTTTATAAGTCTGGACATGAGTATGAGCGTGTTGAGATGAACAGAGCGATGCAGGTAATGCTTACAGACTTTTCAGGGACATCAGGCGGGCGACCGCATTAAATCTAATTCAAGGGCTAACGTGATTAGAGTCTACAGTTGAACCCCGCTACAATGAACGCCGCTTCAACAAAATTCCCGCTACAACGAAAAATTCCCGGTTCCCCGTCAGCAGTCCATAGGAGTCAATGCATAAATATTGTCGCCACAACGAACACTTTTTCTTCTGCCATCCCGCTTTAACCAAATTTCACAATGCGATTCCAGGCTCAGATATTTATTGCTATATAGTAAACACAATATTTAACGTTCTGATGCATTTTCAGAACCTGAAAATAAGTCGACAAAGTCTAAAACACGTGTGGCACCACCAGAAACCACCGCTATACCGCTCCTGTTCAGCAAGCATGGGCGCCGCCATTGCTTGATAGCGATGGTAACAAGACTGCCCTGCTTTGCCAAAAAGAAGGCAGCTTCATTTCCATCGCTAATGAGCAATGGCGGGGCCTATGCTTGTTCAACGCCTCCTTTATTAAGATGCCTGACGAATGACTCGTGTTGCCAGCGGAGTCGTCCTGCGTTCAGTTTTGAGCAAGCGCTGCGCAGTAGCGCTCGCGACCGACATTATTATCACGGCGCTTTTTACTTGTGACCCCTAAGGGCATGTCAATCGATAATTATTCAGGATCTGCAACTATACACGACTATTTCGTTGGCTATGCAAACTGTCGAGTTGCTACATCGTCCGCCACAGGTGACGCTAAAGACTGACAGTAATCAGGAATGCAGGTAACAGGAATGCAGGTAACAGGAATGCAGCAGTGATGAAAAATAGGGCACTGTGAAATTACAATAGGTATGATGTATTCAGAGGAATATGGAAAAGGGTCAAGGTTTCTAGCCTGACGTTCGGCAATGCGGTCTTGTGCATGAGATCAGAAGATCAAGCAAGATTAGAAATTAAGCAACGCGGAATAGGTAGGCTTGCCTTAGGAGCTCACAGGAATACACCAAATCAGGGAGTACAAGGTGATATGGGATGGACATCATCTGAGGGCAGGGAAGCTAGCAGCAAAATAAAATTTGAGAAGCGATTGAGAGAAATGGGGGAGGAGCATTGGGCTAAGAAAGTTTTCAGCTACTTGTAGATGAAGAATGTCGATACAAAATGGAGGAAGCGAACCAGAAAATTCACGGGTAAATACTTAAAAAACAGCGGGGGGCCAAACCAAAAAGAATTATCGGTCAAGAAAAAGGTGAAGGAAGCTGAGACCGATATGTGGAGAATTCGCATGATTAAGAAGTCCGCACTACAGATCTATCGAACTTTTAAGCAGGAAATTGCCAAAAAAGGATCTATGATAATACTCGGGGTAGTTCCCTACTGTTTGAGGCGAGGGCGGCAGTATTGCAAACCAAGACATATCGGGCCAAATACGAAGGGGGAGACATGGTATGTAGTTCGTGTGGAGAGGAAGAAGAAATTGCAGAAAGCTTGATAATGTTCTGTAAAGGGCTTCACCCAACAGTTCAGGATGATGGCGCAGAGTCTTTCAAAGCACTGGGGTAAATTTAGGGACAGAGTGGGCAAAATAAACTTAAAGCACGTAGAATTAACTAGAAGGAGGTTATCTGATTGGTGGCTAAAATCAAGGCACGAGTGAAAATTAAACCCTTCACTGCAAAGTACCGGTTCTCAACCTCACTATTTAAAGGGAAAAAAAAGATAAATCTAGTTTTTGGTTCACTAAGAATTACGGCTTGGTGGCGTTAGCTACTGCCTGATCTAAAGGGTACAGCCACATCCATCCATCCGTCCGTCCGTCAATATGCCTGAAGCTAAGTTGCTTAGTTTATGATTTCCTTCGCGCAGTTGCTGGGTGCATCTGCGGAACGATGCCTCTTCCGATTCCAATGCTTATCATTTTGTTTGCGCTTGGCGAGTGTGGTAACTAATCAGTGCAGCTGTTCGTTCGTATTATCAACAAAATCAGCTAGCCGCGAGTGATGGATGAGAAGAATAGCATAAAATAAGGCAAAAGTCACCGTTTCACGATACACTGCTGTTATCTCGGCGTTTTGACGGCGGACAGCTGTTGGTGTTAACGTGTTAATGGAACTGATTGGTTCATTCATGAAAGCGGTTGTAATCACTGTTTCAGCATGCTTTTTACCATGAACTCGCTATGCATGGGGGAGAATCGCGTCGTGACACTGCTGGGATAGAATAAAAAGCAGCGGACACTTTTTGAATTTTAAGAATAAACGTTCCTTTGTTTTGCTAGTTCAGATTGGCTATAGTTTTTCAATTTCACTACAACGAAATTTTCGCTTTAACGAAATTTTTTTCGTGCCCCTTCAGTTTCATTGTAGCGGGGTTTGACTGTATCAACCGCCTCAGAGACGTGCGTCTAAAAATGAACCTCTGGGTACAGCATGTGTTGGGGCAAAATGCATTTAGTCTTTCTCATTTGTGTCGAGAGTTCTGAAAGCTGCATGGCTTGAAAATGACGTTGCGGAAGAAAGACCGGAAAGAGGCGGCACGCTCCAGCCAATCAGAGGAGGCCGAATTGGACATGTCCACACATTGGACACCGCGAGAATAGCTTCCCTAGCTGGCAGTTAACAACTTTTACTTTTCAAAGTCATACATTTTTTATATCCTATGCCCTGTCAGCCTCATTTTCACGTGCATGTGGAGCCCATCCGCCATCAAACCAGCAGCTTCGAGCGGCTGCTGCTCCAGGTCCATTAAAGTTTGCTGAACAGCTGATCACAAGACGGAGCTTGCCACACCATGCAACATGGCTGCAAATTCGTTGTTTGCAAGAGCAAAACAATATGCCTGTAATATTGGGTCTCATTTGTTGTTTTATGAAATAAAGTCTTCTAACCAAGAAGTCCCCTGTTATTTTGCCAAGAGCACTCGCAGTTGGAAAATTGAAAAAAAGATTGCCACAAAAATTTTGTTCTTCCTTTCTCTAGCTCAAAACATTTTTGCACTGATCATGCTTTGAAGTAAATGTTTAGGCTCCAAACCTGCTCCTAAGATAAGTTTCATCAAAATATTGATTGGTGTCAGGAACATCATTCTCATCTAGACTGTGTGGACTCATCTTCATGCAGCACACATAACAAGAATGGTATACACACCATCTAATGCCCCGATAGTTGTACTTCCTCGCCTCGCGTTCAATCTGCTGAGCCAGTTCACGTGTTGGAGCCAGAACCAGACAAGATGGCCCCGTCCTCTCCTCTCTTGGGCTGCAAAGATGAGCATCGCAATATGAACACTATTCCTGTGGATGAACTAATCGCAAAACTAGAATCCTTTTTTGACTATACATAGGCATGTACTCTGCAATGTAAATGTTTGCAGGAGTTTGTGTAAATGTATGGTTATGGTGCTTTTTGATGTCTGCTGCCATTTCTCGAATTTTCTCAAGGGGGATATTTATTGAATCTATTGTTTATTAGACTATTCACATCGCATGATTAATGTTGCAATTGACATAAACATTCTCTCTTCTTACACTAAAGCAAAGGGTTCATGTTCCTTACTAGAATGGTTTTTTGCCAAGCTACGCTTTGTTTTGCTTTGTTATCCAAGTTTCATGCTCGTTTGTTTCTACTACTCCCATGCTCATGTGTACTTTTTTTAACCACTTCCTGTATGGGCCTGTACAAAGGCCCACGGTATTCTTAAATAGATAATAAGATTAGGCCAATAGGATACCAATGGGACACAATGTTTGAGTGGCGGTGTGAGAGCCAGGTGATAGTGATTCATAACCAGCAGCCATACATTCAAAGAAAAAAATGGCATCGAGCACCTGGTGCATATTCACACACCTGCGACAATGCGTCTTTCTCTATTTCTGCGAAACTAGCCTATGTAACAATTCCTTGGCACAGACACAAAAGTGTTGCATCTTGTTTTTCATTTTTACACTTAACGACCCATTTACCACGGCAGGAATGATAGAGGCAGGAGTGTCATTTGCTATAGTGTGCAACAGTTATTTATTTGGAGACAGTTTTATAGCACGGAGTCCCAATTTCGGTTTCAGAGTGTGCCAAGTGAGAAAAAACCCAGAGGGTTTTGGTGCAAACATACCATGCGCACACGAAACTGCATGCACAGGAGCCTCGTGCACTTTTCAGTGAAGGCTTCACTAGGTTTTGTTTAAAAAAAAAAAACTTCATCTACTGCACCAAAAACCGGGAGGAAAACAAAGCAACATATTTGCAGAACTGTTGGCAGAGATACAGTTAACCCCCATCAAGAAGAAGATTCGCACTCACACAGGCTGGCTGTCAATGTGGATCATGGCTGGCAAAAGAAAAGCCAGAGTTTTTCCAGTGCCTGTTTGTGCAATACCAATAAGGTCTTGACCTTGAAGCAGAATGGGCCAGGCTTGACTCTAAAAGAAGATCAGTCAGGAAACTTAGCAATTTCGGGCATTTCAGATAGTGTTGCTTGTGCACGACCACACGAGATGAACACAAAAATGATGACAGATCATCTCATAGTGATATGTATTACCACCAACATCCGTTCTGTTCAAGCAATGCAGTAAAGAACTATACTGCTGCAGATGCCTTATGTATGGCTCCTAGTCATTGTGACTATTCTACTGATCAGAGATTTTATTCAAATCCTTTAATATTGTTCTTCAGTTATTTGAAACAACATAAAGCTTCTTCGGGTTTCACATGAAGTTTACTTACAAAATGTACAAATAGAAAACTTATTTTCCTTCTTTTGGAGCCGGACACAATCTTCCATGTGTCCCTCTCATGCATACACCCATACATGGCAACCTAGCAGATAAAATTCAGGAGGAGGAAAGGGAAAGTTTTTGTTATATATTTCTGGAATAACTGAGACATTTGCGACGCGCTGTCGTTGCTTCCTTACACTGCAACTACGAAAGGCACGCATTGTGGTTACGGCTCCTGCAGCCGTTTGCCCGACAATGATAGTTGCTCTTGTGCGTCTGCACCCATACCACTTCGCACACTCGCTCTTCGGGAGCATTTTTTAAAATGATAGTCTTGCATGATGTTACGCTGAGCGACAAGCCGTGTTCCTCAAGGAATTCCATGAATAGGCATTTCGCGCTGATTGCACTCTTTTCGTAGCTTTCTTGGAAGAAACTTCCGATGCTATTGTGAAGTGACTTGTCGACCTTGCTGTCGTGCAAAATGCTTACATCACAGGCGCAATTGGTATACAGAATCCATACTTGCCACCTTTGTGCAAAGTCACAAAGCATGAAAGCTCCGTTGTATAAAAGTACGAAAACACTTGCAAGTACTTCTTTACTTTTGAAAGTACCATTGAGCTTTCAACTGAACTCGCTGAAACACGCAACCTCCAAAACTACGAAATGAACACAATTGACGTTTAGGAGAGATGTGCAGGCATAGCGTACCCCACAAGGCAGACAGATGCAAAAGTTGTGGTCGTCTTTTTTCAGTACAGTGGTGACCAGGTCTCCCGGCTGCCAACGTTCACCCACATGCGCAGTACTACAGTGCCTAGAATATGCCCAGCAGTACTCTGTGGTATGGTTACAGTGACATAGAAATGTAGCAGCGAGTGCTCTACCACAGCACCGCAACTGTCGCAGCAAGAAGGGTATGGCGATCACTTTTTCGAAGATTCGAGATAGCATTAGTACAATAAGAAGATTAGGTCAAGCTTCGGAAAGCTATTGGGTAATTCAGGAGAGTTGGCAGGTATGCAATTCTTTATTCCATCTAAAAATGTAACAAAAAGAAGGGGGGGGGGGGGGCAGAATGTCTACCTAGTGATCTTTACTGTCTCGGGCTTCTAATTATTTAAGCCTTGGTAGATTGGCTTATATTTTCCACAGAATGATATTGAAAACAGCTGCAGTTTATTGATATAAACAACAAAAAAACAGTCGTCAAAATCGAGCCTGAAAAAAGTGGGAAAGCACTGCCTCATGCCATTGCTTCAACGGACGGCCGAAGCGAGTGGCACAAAGTGCATCACTTCTGATGTTGTGCAGACATGATTTTAGCAGAACATCACCTGCAGTAGCGCATATTGTGACCTTTTATAGCCTTCCATTATGTTCCTGTATACCATCCATTATTTTTCTTTTATTGAGCTGTCCTTGCTTTTACTGCTGAAGCTGCCTGGGACAGCTGTTGTCTCTGAATATGTGCATACTTTTCAAGATGCATGTAACATAAAGAAAAATATTTCCACACAATAATATCTGAAACTGCACTGAGGGATGAGCGGAGCAATTTCACAAGAAATTCTTCTGATACATTTATCGGTCAAGTTGTTATGCAAATTTACAAAAACACATGATGACTGAAAGCTAAAAAAGCTCCAACCAGAAAAAGAAAAAACTATACACATCTGTCTGGTCTGAAGAACTGTTAGCCTCTACCCTATCATGATCAATTCACATTAGCGCCAATGCTTCAAGAACATTGGGCTACATAAGTTACAAGTTACACCAGTCTACTAACAATATGCCTAAGCTAGTTTATCTGACATTTCAACAGCTTCAGCCTGAGTGCACAGCATCTGTTTGGTCGCCGCATTAAAAATATCTAATAAAAAACGATTCTGTGCAAAACAGGGCTGCACGCTTCATTTCATGTTGCTATAACTACAAAAAAAATTATGCAAATTAGACTCGACTTATCTCTTCATCCTTTGCATAATCGTCGGGATATCGCCCTGCTATCATTGTTTCCTAAATACATCTATAATGCACCGCCATCACTTTTGCAGCTCCAAACTCCCCCAACTAGGTCACAACGTTTATATAATCAGCCTAATTTCATGCACATTTATGAAAAGACTATTTCATTCAGGTATTCCACTCTTCCAAAAGCCACAGGGCCAAGTTCACTGTGGCCTCGCGTGACTAACGCTGCACACGCATGTTTGGACAGCTAAGGCGCCAAGCGCAGCCTGGCAAATACAGAGCACTGCTCTCAAACAATTCACAACACTTAATTGCCTGCGGCAACACCAAACACAAAGTACAGCACCGGCTGCAAAAGGCAGCGGGAAAGCAAAAAAAGCTTACCCACACCAAAGGCAAATGTACAAAACACAGGTTCCGCGAGCACGTCTCTGCGGGTGCAAAGGGCTCACAGTAACACACCGCTGAAGGAAATGGTCCCTCACGACTATGCTGCGTGCTCTCACGATCAGTGACCACAAGGCCAGCGTTGGCTTCGAGAGGTACCAATTGACATAAAACGACCACGTGCGAACACACCGCACCACTTCTTGCCTCGCATTCAGAAAGGGCAACGAAAGCTTAACGTCCGCCGGGGACACAAGACACCGTTGGCGCACTCGTCCGTGTTGCAATAAGCCAGATTGACTGAACCATGCCAGGAACCAACGCAAAACAACTTTATTTTGCAGACAATGAAGTATATATAGGCGGCTTGCCTATGATGTAACACAAGATAGTGGAGTGGGTGATGTTTGACACGTGTTGGCACTGCACTTCTCATCACGTCTTCCTTTCTTTTAAAGGTTAAGCCTTTGCACGGGTCTTTTTAGTTGGGTAGACCTTCGTAAGACTGGAGGAGTTGGTGGCATTGCAGAAGGAACAAGAACAGCGTCCTTGCTTGCTGGAGTTGCCAGGCTTAACCGCTCCTCCCGTGGTGACGCTTGCTGCTCCACGTTGTCACGGCTGAGTGGTAGTGATTCGAAAGTGTCTGCCTTTGGAGCCCTGGGCGACCCCCGCGGACGAATCTGGACCAAGTGATGCCGGATTTGGCTCACCTGGTATGTCGACTGCTATGAGGCGCGAACCTTTGGTGCATTTGATAACACCTGGACACCACTGCCTCCTGTGTCCAAAGTTGCCCACCCACACCAGGTCTCCGAATGAAATCTGGAAGGCTGCGAATGATTCCGAGATAAAGATGGCACGCAAGTATCCAAGTGTGAATGAGCTTGATAATTAAGCAGTAATTCTGAAGGAGACTTTGCGCACAGTAGGGGCATCCTCGGTAGCTTAGCAATGCTCGTGCTAGTTTAACTTCGAGGTCGTTCACCATCAAATGTTTAACCAGGCCGTCCATAATAGTACAAACTGCGCGTTCCACTGGCCATTAGATTGTGGGTGGTATGGGGCACTGCGCAGATGCATTACGTTGTTGTCTGTCATAAACTGGGCGAACTGCTGACCTGAAAACTGGAGCCCGTTAACTGACACTACAGTTTGTGACAAGCCAAAATGCGCGAATAATTTGCAAAGCCGTGTTATTGTGCCTTCGGCGGCTGTTGACCAGACCGGGAGGGCCTCGATTCACTTCGTGTGCGAGTCGACGACTATCAGCAGCATGCGCCCCTCTATAAGACCAGCATAATAATGTGACGCCGTGACCACTTCATCCCTGTTCCTGGGCAATTAATAGGCTCCTGGCGATGTGGCAATGCTTGACCTTGTACACATGGCATACAAAAACGAGCGAGATTTTGGATCACACCATCCAACCCTGGCCACCAGAACAACGCCTGAGCCAGTATTTTCATCGCCGATGCTCCATGGTGTGACCGGTACAGCTCGACCCCCGCGCCTTGCCGGGTATGATCCCAAGTAGAGCGGACCTTCTGCACTCAACAGTTCCAGTCTTCTGCAGAAATAAGGTTGGAGATGACTGTGACATGATGAGAGGCATTTAGGCCATTCATTATGTATGAAGTTCTGGACAACACAAAGATCTTTGTCAGCACTTGTCAACGCCCTTCAAGCCCTTGCTGGCACGTATGAACCTTCATCGTCCTCTTCTTCATATTTTGTCATATACTCATGACATATGCCCTCTTTTTTAGGAGAATTTCTTGAAAAACTGTTCGCGGGAGCTCCCCCCCTCCTTGTCTATCATAGTGTTACGAAAAAGAAGAGACGCCGGAACGACGAGGCTGGGGATTAGATATATTCAAAATCAGCGGTAATGGCGTAACTGGTTCACCAGCGATCGAGCAGACACAACTCTTCGTCTCCCTCATCACGCACACACGCGCGTCGCCCCCTAGATTATCAATATACATGCATGTAGCATAACCCCCAGCAGCACAAGCGCCGTCTCGGCGCATCTAAATGTCAACGTCACTAGGAGAGTTGTAGGGCTTCAAGCGCGCAACATGTACAATATCGGTAGCCTGTTGGGCACATGAAGACGACGGGGTGGCAGGACCAATTTCGTATGTTACAGGAGTAACCACACAAAGGACTTGGTATGGGCCTGTGTAGCGAGTAAGCAGTTTTTCTGACAAGCCAACTTGACGGGTCAGAGACCAGAGCAGGACAAAAGAACCGGGCGGAAAGTGTACGCGCGGTGTCGTTGGTCATACAAGCGCCGTTGCTTTTCTTGAGGTCAGAAGGCGAGTGCGGGTGATTTC